CATATACATAGTTTTAAAAAATCAAATAGCACAACAGAGCTTAAATTGAAAACCATTAATCTCCTGTCTCAGACCTCCCCCTCCCCCAAGTCTTGTTCCCAGAAGTCAATTCCTTTCGACTTCTTTAGCTTATTTTTTTCTTGTTACATTTGAAAGCAGCCTGCTTAGTTACAATTTTTAAATTTTCAACCTGTCTGTTGATTTCATATGGAAAAAAAGATTTAACTCTCTCAACGTGCTCCTGACAACAGCCCTTGCCCCATACACACTTGGACTTTCCTGACTTCCCAATCCAAATATGTCACAATCAAATCAATAGTCAGGCCTTACTTTAGTGTCTACTGTAAGTGTAGTTCACGTCTGAGACAAAAAGTCTATTATGAGTATTTTATATCCTGTCCAACTTTTAATTTTCCCCCAGAGCTAATAAACCTTTTTCTGCAGCAGCAGTCACTAATTTACCTCCAGACTCTCTTTAGAGCTGCAACTCTTCTTTCATTAGTGCCAAACATGGTAATCTGTCAGGGGCACTTTTTGTTGCTGTTGAGACATCCATCCTGAGCTGTCTTTTTCTCTCACTGGAATCAGATTGATGACTTTCTAGGCCTACTGTGTAGCTATTTTCCTGGAGTTTCCTTTACAAAATCCATCTGTTGCTGTATTTTAAATTGCCAATAGCTTTCATGTTACCTAAATGTTCCTTTTCTTTCTACAGCATTTTATTCTGGATGCAATAGCTATTAATATTTCTAAACAAACTAATTATAGATTTTAAAGAGTTTTCTTCTGCCCCTTGGATGAGCTTGGTTTCCTCTGCGTTTCTTCATTCTTCTGTGACTCTCATGTTAGAGGCTGTTTTTCAATGTCTTCTGATCTTGGCTTTCTGTTCTTGTTTGGTGACTGGAAACTCTGTGCAGAGACTGGACCTGTCAAGAGGTGGGCTTCACCCTGGGTTGAGAAAGTGGCCAGGTTGCTTTCTCTCAGGCAGCTCCCAAGTGTCATTACCTCTGGGTCTTTTCTCTTGGGCCACCCAGTGTCATATTCCACTTGGGAACTCTGAGTCTGGCTGCTGATATTATCTGAGTTGAGAAGAATTCCCAGTTGCCCTGGGCTGAGCCTACTATCTGGCACATACCCAGTGTTCCTGCTTGGACACTGACACCCCCTCCCACACCCACAGTAATAATCAGCATAGGATTTTGGGGTTCAACACCCTGGATGTCTCTGCTACTCCATAATCTGAACAATAACTTTGCTGATTGTTCCAAGGTATCCACCATCCCCAGTATCTCCTGCCTCTAGGCACAGGATATGGCTGCTTTTTAGAGTAATCCTTGGCAAATTAGTTCATTTTCTGGTTTCCTTTGGTAAGCGCTCTGTTTTTCAGAGGTAACCCAGATTTGGGATCCACTGGGGGTTTGCCTTTCCTTTTTTCAAAGTAGGTATGGATTGTTAAAAACATCTTTTCTCTCATTTCTAGAGATCTGTTGTAGGAGGGGAGAGCTGGACCCTTACCCTTTCCTTGTTCTGTTCGATTTGCATCTTGATTAGCCATGTGTAACTGAGTGTTTTAATGTTTTTATTAATTAAAATTCCTTTGAATTTTGTCCATTTTATGTCAATATATCAATATATTTAGACTAATTTTATTGATGTTAATTTTCTACTTGCCATATTTACTATAAATATTTTTTAGAGTAATTCCCATTTTTATTACTGAAACATAATTGATTATACATTTTGGTGGGGTGCAGAGTTCAATATCAATACCTGTGTAGAATATGGGGTGATCAAATCAGGATAATTAGTATATTCATCATTACACAATGTAATCGTTCTTTATGACCCCTTACCAATTTTTTGCTATCCTTTTGAAAGTTCAACATATTATTGTGATTGTTGTATCTTTCTTTTTTTTTTAAATTCATTTTTTTTTTTTTTTTTTTTTAGTTACCACTTATGAGTGAGGACATGTGGTATTTCTCTTTCTGTGCCTGGTTTATTTCACGTAACATAATTTTCTCTAAGTTCATTCATGTTGCTGTGAATAGCAGAATTTCATTCTTTTTTTATGGCTGAGTAATCCATTTTGTATTATACCACATTTTCCTTATCCAGTCATCTGTTGATGGACTTTTAGGTTGGTTCCAACTCTTGGCTATTTTAAATAGAGCTGCAGTAAACATGGGAGTGCAGGTATCCCTTTGACATGATGATTTCCATTCCTTTGGGTGTATACCCAGTAGTGGGATTTCTGGATCATATGGCAGTTCTATCTGTAGTTGTTTGAGGAACCTCCATAATGTTTGCCAGAAAGGCTGAACTAATTTGCAGTCCCACCAACAGTGTAGGAGGGTTCCCTGTTCTCCACATCCTTGCCAGCATTTTTCTCTGTCTTTTTGGTAATAGCCAGTCTAACTGGGATGCAATGATATCTCAGTGTGGTTTTGATTTGCATTTCCCTGATGCTGAGTAATGTTGAGTATTTTTTTCATATGTCTGTTGGCCATTTGTATATCTTCCTTTAAAAATGCCTATTCAACTCCTTTGCCCATTTTTTAATCAAATTACTTGTTTTGTTTGTTTGTTTTTACTATTATTGTTTGAGTTTCTTTTATATTCTGGATATTAATCCCTTGTCGGATGCATAGTTTGCAAATACAGTCTCCCATTCTGTAGGTTGTCTTTTCACTCTGTTAATTGTTTCCTTTGCTGTGCAGAAGCTTTTTAGTTTGATATAATCCTATTTGTTAATTTTGTCTTTTGTTGCCTGTGCTTTGGGGGTCTTATTCATAAAGTCTGTGCCTGGTCCTACATCCTGGAGTGTTTTCCCTATATTTTCTTCCAGGAGTTTTAAAGATTCAGGCCTTATATTTGTCTTTAATCCATTTTGAGTTGATTTAGATATACGGTGACATGTAAGGGTCTAGTTTTATTTTTCTACATATGGATATCCAGTTTTCCCAACACCATTTATTGAAGAGGAAGTTCTTTCTCCATTGTATGTTCTTGGTAAGTATATCTTACAGACACCTGTATCAGAATCACCAGGGAGTACTGGATAAAATATCAGCTCCCTGGATCACTCTTATCAGAATCCAGGAAGCTGTGATATTCGTGAACTCTCCTGCATATTCTAACATGTGAGAACCATGGTTCAGATGGAATAGGAGATTATCTGCATGGTGTGTCGACATGACTGGGAAAGCATTAGCGTTTTAGGAAGAGAGCAGAAGGTGGGGGTGGACCATGAAGAAATAAAAGAATTCCAGAGCAGAGCCCATTTTGAAGTTGGGAAACATGAGTTTGTGTTGGAGAGGCTGTGCCAGCTCCAGAATATGGTTGCACGTGCTGCCATAGCTTCTTTTAGGGGAATGTGATTCTACCTAAATACTCTGTAATCACTTCTCAATTTGTCAGGGCCCTGGGTAAATTACTAAAGCAGGCAGCTGGATCAAGGACAGGAAAAAAACTTGAAAGATTTCCCTTCCTTCCAGTCTGAGGAATACTCCTTTCTTGGCAGGCAGAGTAAATAATACTGATTGCTGTATGCGATGCTGTGGATTTGTTTGTTCAGAATTTTAATTTCACATGTCTGTGATGAGCCTGCCAACACATCAGGCCGGACTTCTCTCTGCTTGTTGTGGCTCAGTTCCATTCTTAGGTGCGGACACAACCCCAGACAGGCAGCTCCCCTCGTGTGAAAGAAATCTGAAGTTGCAAGGCCCTAGTCTCTAGTTCATTGCCTTCTCTCTCTCTCTTTCTTTTTTTTTAACATGAGTATATCAGCAGCCTCCTACCTCGTCTCCAGGCTGCCGGCCTCCTTCCCCAGATCATCTTCCATGCCACCAGAGTACCTAACATGACTCTGACTGACAACCTCCTAACTGCTATAAGCAGTCACTGCCATGAAGGTTCCCACCACCAGAGTCATGGCCAAATGTGTTAGGGGGACCTAACAGCTTTTTGCAACAGGTCTTACCTTCAAACACTGCCCCCACCATTCCTGCCTCCCTCGTTCCACAGATGCTGAATACTCACTGTTCCGGGACACTGTGCACTCTTGCCCATCACCAAAGTGTCCCTTCTAGTTTAGTTGTTGGTGGTTGCCTAAGGAGGTGTATTTAAATGTTATCCCCTCTCTGTAGCTTTCTCAGACCCCACTCGCTCTTCCAAGGCAGAATTATTTTTTCATCTGTATTCTATATAGTACTTTATACAAATATCAACTGTTGCATTTAGAACATTATATTGTACTCATTCATAGTTTTGTTTAACTGGACTTGAATTTCTTGAGACCAAAAATTGGGTTATTAATTTTTTAATTCCCCAATGCCTGACACGTAGGATGTATACCATAAATTTCAGTTGAATATATTTGAACCAGAGATTCTCTCTTTATGTAATGCAAACAGAAAGAACATAGGAAAGTAGAGTTCTTTGGAGCAAGCAATATGGGCAACTCTCTGCATCATCCTGTAATAGTAAAAAGTTCTTTCTTTTCCATGCAATATTATAGTCATGATATAGTGTGATTAATCTGAATACTTACAGAGTCAAGAATTTCAGTGGGAAGAGGTATCTTAGAAGTGATCCCTTTGATTTGCAGATGAGGAAGTCAGTTCTGTGCTTACGTCAGACCACACAAGTAGGTTTTATCAAAATCCCAGCCAACAGCCCGTAGGAATTCATGAGTATTAAACTATTTTACATTCCAAGGCATATAAATTCTGGAAGAGAACAAAATGTACAATATATTTATTTCAGAGGGAATTCCATTAAGGAATGCTCATCTGAGTTTAAGGTATTGGGGTTGGGGAAAACCGGGCTACTTGATGAGAGATAATTGGTAAGTTCAAGGAGGATTTTAAATGCAAGTGAAGAGTTTTTCATGTGTTTTGAGGAGATGGTTTGAGCTATCAGGGCCAACGGAAGACAGTAGAGGGGTTTTGATGAATTTCTTTTACTCTAGGTTTAATCGAGTCTCTTTTCTTTAATAGGTTTCAGAACCTGCTGTGGTCCAGAAAGACATTTGTGGACAACATGAAAATCTATAACCACAGTTACATCTACATGCCTGCCTTTTCTATGAAGACAGGAACAGAGCCATCCCTCCGGGTTTATTACACACTGTCAGATGTTGGTGCCAATCAAACAGTGCTCTTCGCCAACCCCAACTTCCTGCGTAGCATTGGAAAGTTCTGGAAAAGTAGGGGAATCCATGCCAAGCGCCTGTCCACAGGACTTTTTCTGGTGAGCGCAGCCCTGGGCCTCTGTGAGGAGGTGGCCATCTATGGCTTCTGGCCCTTCTCTGTGAATATGCACGAGCAGCCCATCAGCCACCACTACTATGACAATGTCTTACCCTTTTCTGGCTTCCATGCCATGCCTGAGGAATTTCTCCAGCTCTGGTATCTTCATAAAATCGGTGCACTGAGAATGCAGCTAGACCCCTGTGAGGACACATCACTCCAGCCTACTTCCTAGGGACAATGGACGAAGAAGGGACTGAGCAGGGTATTTTTGTTAGTTTTTCTATGTGACTCCAAAAAGGAATGATCAAGTTGTTTCATGGATTTGCATGGGCCACTTGGAAAAACAAGAAGAAACAAAAAGCAAACAAAACTTTACTTTTAATGTTGGCTTGGAGGACAAATTAGAAACAAAACGTCCTATGAAACATTTCATAGCACACCGTGGATTTGCACCTAGTAAAAAGCTTTTGTGTGATGTTGGTAAAGTACATTTACGTGGTTCAAATCTAGAATATGCAATTCGAAAACAAGACAAATGCTAGTTATTGAGGCTGAGGAACTAGTCAAAGTAGAATAAAGGAGATGCTGGGGCAAAAGTGTTGCTGATTTTTAACACAAACTGGCTTAGTAATAATAAGAAAAACTTGTCTTATTAAGACTGGTATTAGAACTGTAGGTTTTTAAAAAATTATTATTTATTTTTGCCCTATTTAAGGGCAGCAGGTGGGTGGTGGGGTAGATTAAAAAAAAAAAA